ACTGGCACAGAGACCCCCACCTGACCGGCACTGAGGCCCCCACCTGACCAGCACAGAGACCCCCACCTGACCGGCACTGAGGCCCCCAGCAGCACTCACAGGCCTGGGGAAGAGCTTACATGGAGCTGGCTCTGGTTGCGAACAGGACACTGCTTGAGTGGTGGCATCTGGTCACATGCCATGGTCAGCCCACTCAACACTGTGTCACTGGTCACTCAGACATGGTGTCTCGTCACCTCACACTTGGACACAGCGTCAGCCACATTCAGGTGTGAAGTCACCAGTCACCCTTGGCCCGTCCTTGCCCAGGGCAGGTGTCCCCTGCCCGGGTGGCCTCCCCAGAGCACTCTCCTGTGCCTTCCACCACCTGCCCCACGCGGCAGGCGTCCCCACACTGAGGGCTGAGCTCGCCTCCCATGCAGTAGCCTGCAGGCCCTGTCCTCGTCCCACAGGAAACCCAGTCCAGGGAGGGAGACTCAGCTCTAATTACATGTCCTGGAAAGAAACCCCAGTTTAATTTGGAGTAAAATGAGAAGCTGTGGCTGGAAATGTCCCCTTGGGGAGCCACCTGCCTGAGCGAGGACACATTTGTCTGCTGTCCCCAAGGACCGGCAAGGAAAGCTGAGGTTAGGGCCAAGATGAGGAGGGGACAGCTGCGATTTCGGGGTCCTGGGGCTCTCTGCCAGCAGGAAGATGCCGCAGTGTCCGATGGGACCCCGAACCTGTCCTGACTCCCATCCGGAATCAACCCCTCAGGACCAATGGGTGGGGTGGGGGCTTCTGAGGGAACCGGGAGGGCGCAAATGGTGATGTGGGGACAGCACTAAGAGGTGACCAGTTATGGACGGGCTGGGGACATGGGTGTGCCATCGCTTCTTTCTCAGCTGCCAACCCCAAGTGCACACACTCAGCTACCTCCCGTTCCCGTGTTACGACAGACAGGCTCCTGGGGTTCTGCCGTCCACCCCACTCCCTCCAGGTCTTTCTGTCTACGTCTCCCGCTGGTCCCTGCCCCCTGGACCAAGCTCACCAGAGCTCAGGCCGTGGCCGCCACTCAATAAAACCCTCCTGCTGCTCCACTCCCACTGCCTCTGCCCAAGAGTGTCCCTAAAAGGCAGAAGCTGCCCGCAGGTGCCCACACCCTCCTCCCATTCCAGCGGGAGCTGCCCTCACCAGGAACCCACTGCCTTCATGGTGCTCAAGGCCACACTCGACCACGCCCCTCCCTCAAGAAAAGCATGTACTTCCTGAGTCGCTGACCACAGACACTCTCTGGTCTCTACCCACCTCACTGGCCACCCCACCTGCAGGCCCCGGGGCTCCTGGGCTCAGGCGTGGGCAGCTGTTCCCCTCTCCCCATTCCCGGGGGTCCTGACGTGTCCGCTCTAATACCATCGACACACCTGTGTCCTGGGGTTGACACCTGCAGCCACAGCCTGTCCCCCGATCTCCAGATGGTTCATCTTCACGTGTCCTTCAGAAGTCACCATGGTACTGAGGACTTCTCTGACTAGCCTGCAGCCCACCCTGCCCTCCTAACTCCTTCTATGTACCCAGCGGTCTGCACACCAGTCCCAGGCACTGTGATGTGGCCGTAAGAACTGCAGTTGAGACCCACCCTTGTCGAGTGTAAATTGAGGAGCAGGGTGACAGGAGACATGGACTTTAAGCAATAAAGGTCACGCATGAGCAAAGTGCACAGTTATGGAGGCTGTGTGCACTACGAGAAAGAAGCAGTGCCGGGAGAACATGCTCCCCTAGCACCCAGTCCCCAAGACGGCTGTGGGTCTGTTCAATCCTCAGCTCCTGGCAGATGCTCAACAAATCGTGAATAAATGAGTGATTAACAATAAGGGATGGGTTGGGGGAGCAGCAGAAGGGGGCAGTTCAAGCTGCTGGACAGACACACGGGTGGGAGGGCAGATGTGAGGATGGGAGGGAGCAGGGCAGGCGCGAGGTGGGGTGGGGGTGGGACGGGGTCAGGGGAGGGCGGGCGTGAAGTCGGCCCTTCGCTCACTCCCATGGAGCCAGGACCACACGCTGCACCCCCTTCCCAATGCCAAGGGTGCACCCAGGCTGAGTCTGTAGGCAACTAAAGGAGGCTAAGAGGCTTCCCCAAGGCAGGGGTGGGCCCGTCCCATCCAGGGCACCTGCCACCACCTGCACACCAGCCTCAGAAGCAAAAGAAACCCCAGCTGGCCTGGGTGCGGGGTGGAGGGGAGGTAGAGGGTGTGGGTGAGGGGGCGTGGCCAGGCAACAGGGCTTCCCCAGTCAGAGCCCCTCCCCACCCCACCACTGGCATGCAGCCCTCTGAACACCAATTAAGTAAACCCTAATTAAAAACAAAGTAATGAAAAATAATACTACCCATAGCTACCCACAGGGACCTCAGTTCAGGAGGGTTTAGAGTTAGGGTTGTTCACTGGACTCCCCATGGGCCACAGTCACCCCAAAACAGACCCAGGGCCTCCCTCTACCATGCACCCACACACACACGCACACATGCACACACCCACACATACTGACACACATGCACCCACACATGTTCACACCTACACAGAAGCACACGCACACATGGATGCATGCACACACATGGGCATACATATGCATACATGCACACGGACACATGTGCACACCCACACAGGCACACAGGCACACCTGCACATTCGTGCGCATGTGCATGCACACATGCATGCACGCAAACATGCACTCACATACACCCACAGGTGCACCCATACATGGACGCACACCCACACGTGCTCACATCTGCACACACGCACGCACGCATATGTTCATGAGCCCTGTGTGCCACAAGCAGGCGTGATGGAGCAGCTCCCCCTTGTGACACTCCAGCCCGTGAGCCCCCAGGGGACAGCATCGCCCTCCTACCTGGGACCCCTTCCACCTTCAGGGATGGGCTGCACAGGGAGGGAGCCTAGATACCATTGGCACCAATGCCCAGCCCTTCTGCAGGCAAAGACTTCACCCAAGCGAGAGACACAGAACAAGGTGGAATAGAAAAAGAGGCAGGAAGAACAAGAAAGGAAAAGCAAATTGACACAGAGAAATAGGGACAGAGAGGCAGAGAAGAGACAGGGTTACAGAGGCAGGGGTTAGAAAGACCGAGAGAGCGAGGCAGGGGAACGGAGGAGGGAGAGAAACGGAAGGCGACACCCATGAAGAAAAAGATGGGGCAACAAAGACACGAGCAAGAAGAGATGGACAGAGGGAGGGGTCTGCACGGCAGGAGCTGGGGAGCAGACCTCAGGTCTCAGGACCTTGGGCCCCTCTCCATGGGCTCCGTGGAAGGCGAGCCCATCCTGCTCTCTCTTGAGACCAGTAGTGTGGTCAACAGGCGGAGGGGCAGCCCCGAGCACCCCAGCCTCAGGAAGTCTCTTGCAGCTGTCACCAAGGGACCCAGGCTCCCTGGCCCTGGAATCAGACGTGCTGGTCAGAAGACCCAGGGGTCCTGCTGAAGGCGGGTGCCACAGGCTCCTCAGCCTGCCTGCCCCAAGGGGCCCCCTCAGCACCACGGACAGCGTCCCAGGAGGCAGGGCGGCTCCCAGGGGCCCAAGCACAGGGCACCCAGTCTCTCCCATAAGCCATTAGTTCGGCAGACGCTCCCTGGCCCCTCCTGGGAGCCTGCCCCAAGCTAGGCTCTAGGGAAGCCCTGAAAAATAAGACACGTTCTTGTCCTCAGGGACTCGCGTCCAGAGGGAGGGACGGAGAGATGTAAACAGCCAGTGACTCCCTGACACCCACGCAGTGCCCATGGGTTGGTGTGAGTGACCCCCTAGAGGGCCACACACCTCACCACCAGCCCCCCTCTGAGAGCCACACTCTCCACGAGCCCCCACCATCATCGATGGGACTGCAGGGGTCCACGGAGCTTCAGAGGGTTTTAGTAAATCCTGCCCTGGTGCCACACCCACTGTGCAGCCGGTGACATGGGGACGCAGGCAGGTGCAGATGGGTCCCTGGCACCGCAAAGCCACACGTCTCCCAACAGAAGGCTCCTCACCCCATTCTCTTCTCAGTCAGAGGTGAAAAATAGAGCAGAAATCAGAGTTTCCAAGCAAACCTATTAATTCCAATTTCAAAGGCGCCAATCCTATCAGTGCTGGTGACAGCCTGGTGCCACCGCCCAAGGACCGAGGGAAAACATGATGCAGGACCTGCAGCTTCCATGTCAACTTCTCCCTCCCCTGCCTTCAGCCAAAACACCTGTGCACACATCTTCACCCGCACTGAAGCAGGCTAGGGGCTCGCTGGATAGCCTGTGCCCGGCAGGGGGATGGAGGCCCTAGCCACAGCCACCCCTCCCGTGGAGCATTCTGAACTCCAGTGGGGCTCTGAGCCTCCCAGGGTCACCAGGCCCCCAGAAACAAGACTGAGTCGGGGGTGTGGGGCGGGGCCCCTGGCGGCGGCAAACAGGTTCTGTGCAGCCATCTCCCCAAAGCATTAACCCCGCCCTCTCCTGGGGGGCGGGGGTGGGGGGGTGGCCAGAGCTGAGCCTCAGCAGGTAGGGACACACAGGTGGGGCTCAGCGAGGAGGGGCAGGGTGCTCTGCCTGCACTCCAGCCCCAGCCCAGCCCCAGGCTGACTTTCCAGACCCCCTGGTCTGTTGTGGGGTATTGGGGCCCATTTGAGGAGCAAGTGGTGGGCGGGAGCCCCGTGCACAGCCAGTTGTCCACCAGGCCTCGGGCAGAGCTTTCCAGCTGGACCCCCCAGGCAGAAAACAGCTCACACACACACAAGTGCCTCTCCCAGGCCGGAGGCGACCAGGCTGCAGCCTGGAACTCACAAAATCAAGCCCTGGAGCCCTCCGAGAAGGCGGCCCCACCCCTGTGGCCCTGACAGCAGGCTCACCCAGGAAGGAGCCCTCGCCCCCCAGCATGGCAGCTTGGGCACTGTTTGGTCCCGCACATGGGAAGCAGATTTCCCACGCACACCCGCGTCAGACCCCGTGTGAATGCTGCTGCCCAGGCCCAGTCACCTACCCTGTCAGAACCACCACAAAGTCCATGACATTCCAGCCATTGCGCAGGTAAGAGCCCTTGTGCAGCACGAAACCCAGGGCGACAATCTTGATGCCCGCCTCAAAGCAGAAGATGCCGATGAAGTAGGGTTCCGTGTCGTCCTGCGGAGAAGCACAGCCCACTCACCACCGCGCCTGCCCCCACCCCACTCAGGCAGGCAGAGGGGCCCAGGCCAGCCTCTCAGCCCGCAGCAGACAGGCCTGTGGGCTTGTCCTGCACTGACCGGGCAATCGTCCATGGCCTCTCACACTCTTTCAACCCCATGCTAAGGGACACAGAAGCAGAGAGAGGTCACGGCACTGGGCCCAAGACCCAGCTTGTCTGGGGCACAGCTGCACTCAGAGCAAGAGGCCGCCTGGGCCTGGGCTCAGACCACTGCATAGGTGGCCTGGAGGACGCCCCAGGCCCGAGAGCAGCCCAGGACCCACCAAGTCCCTCAGCACACACTTTCTGGACAAACGAAGCGTGCAGGTCTTGGGAGCCTCAGGGAGCCTCTGGAGGATGAGGCGTCCAGCCAGGCCGCGTGGAAAGCAGTTCCTGGTGGAAGGGGCAGTGTGAGCAAAGAAACGGAGAAGGAAATGGCAGTGCACCCTCTCCTCCGCCCCAGGCTGCGTCTGGTCACCAGCCCACACAGCACCATGGGGTCGAGTCTACATAGTTTGGAGACGCCGATGTCACGTGCAGACATGCACATGGAGTATGCTGACTGACAGGGCAAGGTGGCAGCCAGCTTCGGACCAGGGGCGCACGGGCAGAGTCAGCACAGGAAGCAGCCCAAGTGCAGCCACAGATGCCTGCGGTCCAGGGCAGCGGCCTCGAAAGCAGACAAGGGGTGGCAGGGAGGGTCTGCCCTCAGGATGGTGAGGGTCACAAGAGGAACTGCCCTTCGGAACGCTGCTCTGCCAAGCCAGCAAGGGGAGGGCCGGGAGCTACCTGAGTCTTCTACCAGCTCCCACGCAGGCCGAATAGCCTGCGCTGTCCCTTCCCAGGAAGCCTGGCCTTGAAAGGCCCGCCCCATGGACTCAGCCTGGACCCCCAGCCCACAGCTGATGGGCAGCCCTGCGTGGTGGGAGCTGACAGCCCCTCCCCCATCCTGCCACCCTGATGCTGACTCACAACGGGACCCCCGTCAGGCTTCTGGTCTAGCAGAGTTGGACAGCCCCCTCTCCCCCTCTGCCCCAGGGAACAGCTAGATCCCAGCACACAGATCTTCCCAGAAAGCTCCTGGACAGAAAAGAGCCCTCCCAGAGCCAGGAGACGGGCAGGGCGCCACCCTGGACCACATTCACCCGGCTGAGGGCTGGCTTGGGGGAGGGTGGGACTGCAAGCTAGGGGCTCAGCTGAAGGCCGCTGGGGAAGGTGATGGTGGCTGGAAAGCGGAGCCCCAGGGACAGGGAGCTGTGGTGGCCCCACCCTGGACCCGGCAGGCCAGCAGTCCAGCTGCCCTGCACCAGCCAGCCCCTGCCTGCTCCCCTGGCAGCTGACCAGCTCCTCACCTGAGCCCTGGGTCCCCGCCGACCTACTCTCCAGGCCCAGCTCTGTGCTCTGGCCTTCAGACCTTCCCAAGGGCGCACAAGGCCTGTGCCTGCACGCAGGACTGGGGTCAGCCAAGGGCTCCTCAGGCCTCCGGGCTGAACAATTCTGCTCCTTTCCCAACAGCTCAGCTCCAACCCCTAGAAGCACGCCCACCCCGTCACCGCAAAGCAAGCCCTACTCGCCTCTGAGGCAGGAGTTCAGACTTGGCTGGCCCACTCAGGCCTGCCACCCAGCACAGACAGGCTCGAGCCTGACCACTGTACCCCAGGGCAGCCTCACTCTGCCCCCCTTTCCCACCACGGGGTCTATGATGGTTGGGAGGAGGGAGGCTCAGGGCCCACACCCAGCATGGACAGGCCTTGCTTCAACACTGCTCGTCTCCACTGAAGCTGGGGCGAGAGGCTTGGACAGAAGGTGGGAAAAGTGCCCCCAGAAGAGGCTGTCTCCCCTGGCCTCCAGCAGCTCCCCCTGAACCCCTCTGCCTGCTTCTTCTTTCTGATCTGAGGCGCAGCCTCTCAGGCCTCTGGGAGCCCACACAAGCCCAGGCAAAGGGGCCGCAGGACATGGCCTCACCTCCAAACCTCACCCTTCCCTCTGCCCCAGCCCCTCCAGAGACCCCACCTGGCACCTACTCTCACGGGCTCGGTTTCAGCAGGGGACAGCTCCTGGCAGGAGCAGGTGACAAGAATTCCGGATGTTTGGGAAGAAAGCCTGGGAAGGGGATGCTCCCCCACGAGGAAGAGGCTCCAAGCAGAGCAACAAAGACAACACTGCAGGAGAGGCCACAGAGCCAGGGCCACTCTGCAGGAGCAAGGCCACCACAGCCCTGCAGGGAAGGGTGGCGCCAGGACACAGAGCCAGACACCAGACAGGACCACTGTGAATGCTCCCCACGCCCACCCAGGTTTAGCTCTGAGTTTCTTAGATCAAGACCCAAGACTGAGACTGGATGGCCCATTTGGGGTGTAGGGGTAACTAGTGGCACAGGGCAGAGCAGCTCCCCTTCCACACCAGGGGCTGAACTGGCTCCCCCCAGTCCTCCTGGTCCTTGAGGGAGGTGTCAGCTGCCTGGGTTCTAGCCTTTCCTCCGCTGAAGGATAGAGGCGCTACCGGAAGAAGCTATACTCAGCCGTAGACCCTGAAGGATCTGGAATCGGACAAGCAGCCGCCACCCTCAGGTCCCCGGCAGCCACCGCACTCACCAGGCGCTCGGACATGGGTGTCTTGTCCCCGTCAGGGAGGTGCTGCTCCAGTGCCAGCACGATACAGTTGGCGATGATGGTGGCCAGGATCATGTACTCAAACGGAGTGCGTGGGTTAAGGACTGACCCGGAGGCGCCAAGGGGGAGGGGAGGCGAGGAGGCCGAGGCCGGCAGCGCGCAGTGCAGCAGTCGGCCAGGCCGCCTCCGGAGGGGCTGAGAATGACCGAGTCTGGGGCCGCCCCCTGCCCCCGCCCCCATCCTGGGGGGCCGCCCCCGCCCCCATCCTGGGGGGCCGCCCCCGCCCCCATCCTGGGGGGCCGCCGCGAGGCGTGGCCTCTCCTTCCAGTGCAGTCCCGCAGCCGCTCGGCACGTCCCGGCGGCCGTCAGCACCGTGGACAGCGCCACCCAGCTCCGCCCGGCTCCCGCGCCGGGAGGGGAGGGGGCGGTGCGCCCCCCGAGCCAGGCTGGAGGAGGGACCCCGCGCAGGCGCACACTGCTCCCTTAAAGGCACACGCAGCCACATGTACCTACACAGGCACGTGAACATACATGTCCCGAGAGTCCCGAACGCACGCACACACACGCACGCACCTGCAGCCAGGCACGCGCACGGCTCGCGGCCACCGAGCTCACACCCACACAGGCACGGATTCGCCCTCGCGTGCCCTCCAGGCTGGCCGCTCGCTCCGCACCCGGGCCCAGGGAGCGCACGGACGAGTCCGGGCGCAGGGGGCTCTGCCCAGCGCCCATCCCGCGCCCGCGGCCGCCCCACGACCGCGCGCGCACGCACACGCGGCGAGGAGAGGGGCCCTGGAGCCCCGCCCCGCTGCCTCCTCGCCGAGCCGTCCCGGAGGCGCCTCTCCCCAGGTCGCCACCTCCTCCCGGGCCCGGGAAGATGGCCACTGGGTGCCGCACGCAACTGGCCCCGGGCCCCCGCCCAGCCGCCCCTCCCAGACCCGGCGGGGCGCGGACGCTGGACGCCACGCCCGGTCCCCGTGCCCGCGGCCGCCCGCCCGGCCAGACCCCCGGCAGGATATGGCCACTCGGTGATGCGCTTGGCGTATTTGCGGACGACGTTGTCCTCGCTGAAGACGAAGAGCGAGCGGTTGACGGTGAAGCAGTTCTGCTTGACAGGGATGGGGTTGTACAGCGCCATGGTGCGCGCGCGCTGCGCGATCGACTGCTTGTAGAGGACCCGCTGGCCCGGCTGCAGCCCCCCCGGGCCCGGGCCGCCGGCCCCGCCGGCCCCGCCGCCCCGGGC